CTTCTAGAAGGTGTTAGTGTTTACAAATATTTAGGAATAATAGAAGATAGCAGAGGAATCCCAACACGTAGCTCATTTGAAGAAGTACAGAGCAAACTTATATCAAGAGTTGAAAGACTTTGTCACACTAGATTAAATGCAAAAAATTTATTTTCTGCAATCAATCAACATGCGATATCGTTAATCAACTACCACATAGGAGTACTTCGACTTGAACCGGCTGACTTCTCTAAGTTAGATGATGCAGTGCGTGCGGTGTTGGTTAAAAATAAGATACATCTCCGCCCAGGATGTAAAGAGCGTTTGTATCTTCCTAGAACAGAACTTGGAAGAGGCCTACATAGTGTTGAGTTGCGAAGCGAACATATGCTTCTGCAACTCTTGGATTGTCTGGAAAAAAGTAAAGAAATATCAACTAGACGAGCAGCAATCCTCAAGGTGGAGAATAATAATAAAACCCATCTTGCACTAATAAAAGGCTTCTTAAAAGTAAAGTACAGGTTGGTAGAAGAAGTCACTAAGAAAAATTTAGAAGAAGCTCAACTTGCAAAACTATATAACGAAATAGAAAAACGAAAACTCCATTCAAAGTTATATAATGCAAGAAAAAATGAGCTTGTGAGTGTTAGTGACTCTTCAAGATGGCTAAAGAGAGGAAATATTAGGCCACGAAATGAAGCTGTGTTCTGCTATATCCAGGATAGAAATGTATTCTGGGGAGCAGATGGTGTGTGTCAACATTGCGGGAAGTCTGGTAAGACTGTAGATCATCTAGCAACTAGATGTGAAAAAATGCTAGGCCATGATTACACTAGACGGCATAATGAAGTGGTTAGATGCCTACACCTTCTCCTTCTAAATAGATATAAGTTTAAGTCTTCAAAACGAATAAGGAGCCACTCAGTTCAAGAAATTCTTGATAATGAGTATGCAGAGATAAGAGTGGACACCAGAATTAAAACTGATGTTAAAATTCGGAATAACAGACCGGACATATTTATTTTAGATAAGAAGAAGAATAAGATAACACTCATTGAAAAAGGAATCACTTCCCAAGATTCACTTCAAATAGTTGAAACTGAAAAACTTAGGAAGTATGACCTGCTAGCCAATGAGTTGGGCCTTATTTATAGGTGTAGTGTTGAGATAATCCCCTATGTGATGACCTGGGACGGTATTGTGACAAAATACCATAAATCTCATCTTAAAAGACTAGAAATACCCATGAATGTAGAAGCATACATTCAGTCTATAGTACTTAAAAAGACAGTCGAAACTATTTCCTTTGATCGACGAAGAGGACTTGAGTCAGGACTAAATGCCGAAGAGAGCTGGGAGAGAGCGTCAATGGGTGTTATTATGAGATCAGAGATGCATGAGGAACCAATACCCCCTTTAAAAGAAGCGAAAACAGAGGAAGATGGTCCCAAAAATTTTAAACCAAAATATAAAGCCCCCTTTATTTTACAAGGAGGAACCACTTTAGAGGAACCGACCAATAACATAAATGAAGAGTCGGATTTGGAAGAAGAGACAAAAGTGGTTAAAGAGGTAGAAGAAAACATGTAAAAATGGTAAAAAAATATTTTAACCCAGAATTTTATTAAATAAAAAATTGTACAGTGAATTCGATTTAATTTTGAAAAACAATCACTAGCATTTTTTGAATTTGAGTGAGTTTTAAAAAGTAAGGAATATAAAAAAACGAAGGAAAGAGCATCAATATAAATTAAAAAAAACAAAGGTTTATAGGAATTGACAGTATATTATTAGTCTGGGAGGTTGATTTATACAGTAAAAATTATTTTAAATCTTTAAAAATGAAAAAATCATGGTTTTTAACCAATTTTTGGAATGTAACCAATAATTTAAGCATAACATTGTTCTTAAATAAATGTTTATTAAACAAATTCTACTAAAAAATATATTATTTTAAAAAATCATATGTAAAAATTGGAAATAATAAGCTGGCTGTTTTATTTTCAACAAGTAATTCGATAGCATTACAATATTTGTGTCTAGAATTACATTATGAGATTGCCTTCAATCGTTAAAATCTAAATAACAGTGTAAATATGATCGAACTAAAGAGTTAAGCATATTTTGAATAATATGTTGATTTAATTCCTTTTCAGACGAAATGAAAGAATCTTTATAAATTACCATAAAATTTAGAAAATTATGCCTCATGATACTTAAGTTTAGAGGTTATCCCTACAATTATTAGTACAAAAAACATCTTAAACGAATTATTTTGATATACTATGAGGGAGTACTATAGGTTAAAATGCATGCTGATAAGAGTTTTTAAAAAGCATATATGAATGCCATAAAGAATGAAGATATCTGATCTATATCCTCTTTTTATATCGTAACACTGGATAGGCTTTGAAACGATAAAAAAGCAACCAAAGAAACTCTCTATTTAGATGATACAACATTTGATGAGATCCGAAAAAAGTTTAAACAATTTAGCTAGTATATAAAAGGATGGAAATCATTTAAGAAGTAGAAAATATGTAGAAAGAGACAAGTAACTTTTACTTAGTATTCATTGAATTTGGTAAAATATTTGAATTTCACTATATATTTGCGAAATCCATCTTTTTTTGAAAAATGAAGAAATCATTACATATTATTTTAAATAAGAAGTATAGAATGCTACGAAAAAATATACTTGAAATTTGAAATGCAAAATCCAAAATAATTTCGATTTGTGGTTTATAAACAGATGAATATATTGAGTTGAATCCAAATTTTAAATTTTTATGTAATATAATTAAGAATCGCAATCTTTCTTAATACAAAAATATAACCAAAGGAACAATTTTCAACATAAATTTATTAAATATTATTTCTTTTAGTCAAAAAATAGTTATCGATTGTCTTTATGCATAAAAAAGCGATGTATGTCCTTTAAATATAGCAAAGTTCATATATATAAAAACGAATAAATCAATTAATGCTGAAAAAACATTTTAAAATTTGTTTCTAAAGTTAAATTCTCGTTATTTTCAATCCAAAGTATATGTTTATTTATACCAAAAACCATCAAAAAAATTTAGTTTATTTAAATTAATCAAAATTAGGCTGTATTCAATTGTATCTAATATTTGGGTATATGAATGTTTTTTTAACCACTTAAAATTATAATCTATGTGAGATATAAGGGTTTAATATAGTTTCATACAGGCTTCAGTCTTCCCCACACTATAAATCAATTTTTTTTATTGATCACCAAAATCTTTTTACCGAGATGGTGTGAAAGTTGTCTTTATGAAAGAAAAGTAATTTAGTATGTCAAAAATAAGCTTGAGAATTAGAAAAGGGAAATCAGCAAGAATATTATACATTGTTTGAAAACTTCATACTCTAGAAAATTGTAGTCTTTTCAAATACAAGAAAAAATGAAAAAAAATGAAGCCCTAAACGTAATCTAATTGAGAAGTTACAAACCAAAAGCCTAGTAAGAGCTGTAAAAACACACATTAAATTAAATATAAGAAATATTTTATGAAATCTATGAATACGCAATATGTTTGATTTACTATTGCGCAAAATACTATCAATTTTAATGACCGAATTCTTTTATTACATAGCGCGTTCGAGCACTGATTATATCATACAAAGTAAATCTTAGGGCGGAAAGTGACGAGGGGTTTTCTTTAAACAGATCAGAATTTAAAGAGGACTTGAACTATGCCGAACACAAATGAAAATGCGCTTTTGCCATTCTCGTACTGTCTGGGATTGATTGGATTATTATCAACATAACAGACATCAATTCAAAAAAAATATAATAATACACCCTATTTTCTACTAATAAGAAGCTTCATACATGTAGATATACGAATTAAACAAAAAACATAAAAATTAATACAGAGAAACACAAATAGAAAGTATACATAACAAAGTAGAAAGTTTAATTTGATTATAAAAGCTACGAATAGTGAGCTCTTAATATTAGTAATTTCCAAAAAGGGCTTAAGAAATAAAGGATCACTATTTTAAAAGATTAAAATTCCGTCTTAATAATTCACACTGGATCTATAGGCTGATTCCTGTAATATTTTGTTATAACATATTAAAATGATTGGAATAATCAAGTAACTAAAGAATTTTGTTGCATGAAAGTCAAAATATATTTTAAAGGGGGTGAAAAAGGCTTTCAAAATTCTAGAGAGGCAGAAATCACTTTGCGACTATCCAAGGGAAACCTAGAAATATACCTATATTAAATTTATAAAGAGGTATTTTTTGTTATATACATTTTTAAATAAGTACAAATTTAAGGTTAGAAAACAAGCAGGAGATATTGGTTCAAGAAATGCAGAACATCAAAACACATAAAGATCTTTGAATTTGTAAAGCGAACGCATATTTAAATTTTAATAAGAAGATATAGAAAAGCGTATTGGTTTAGAACAGTCTTTAGCATCTAGTCAAATTATTGCAAGAAAACCCCAAAGATCACAACCTACTCTGAATAAGTTAAACTAATAAGGTTATCAAGAGTCTCAGAAAATTTCAAAAGTTTCTTTTTTTCTAGGAAATACATAAATAAGCTTTTGGTACCTTAAAAAATCTATATATCAGTATATAATCTGATATATAGGCAACGACTGTATCTGAAAAGATAATTTATACCATTTTTTACAATCTAAAATGAAGATTAGATATGCGCATCATCCTAATGAAAGTCTAAGAAAGACATAAAAAGATTATATATGAAAATAGAGAAGCAGAATACTTAAATCTAAAAACCGCGAGTATAAATTGTTTAGAAAATCCAATCTCAACTTTGAACTCTAAATTGTGAATAAAAATGCTGATAAAGTCATAACAAATCAAATGTATAAAAAAATAGAAATTAAAAAAATAAAAAGGAATATTATAAAATATACTAAGAAAAAAATAAGTCGAACTTACCAAATATCGAATAAATTTTATTTTTTCTGAATGATTTGATTTTATAAAAAAGACAACAGAAAAAAATAAAATGCCTTCGTCCGGGATCGAACCGGAGACCTCGCCCGTGTGAAGGACGCGTGATAGCCAACTACACCACGAAAGCTAATTAATTTTTAATTGTTATTATAATAACAATTAAAAATTTGATCAAATATTTGTAGAAATTTTGATTTTAATTATAAAATATGTATAAATATACTATGACACCATTTTTTATCTGCAAAAAAAATTTCGAAATCTTGTCAAACCTATATATTACGAACCTTGATTATCAGCGAAAATAATGAAATTTCGCCCGACATGTGACTATTTTGTTTGGTAGTCCCAAGCTCGGATTATGAAGAAGGTTTGGCATAGTGCTAACACACCTATTTCATGAAAACCATATTTTTATGAACCGAAATGAATGAATATATTTTAATTCTAGAAGCAATTTAAATAAAAAAAAATACCAGAGAAGTCTTATCTGGGAAATAGAATGGGCGGCACTTTTTTAGAGCAATCGCATTATTATTATTTATCGAGTGAACCAAAGAATATAAAGTAGATGTCGTATAACTATAAACGATCAGATATAAAGGATCACATGTTATAAGAACCAACAAAGATACTGTTTCTACTACTGTAATACAACTTACGGATAAAAAAACCTTTTGCTATTAAAAAATTTACTGTTAACTTTTTGGACTATAAACAGATAGATAAAAGATTGTTTTTAACAGAGTTGGAAAAGGCTTCTTTTATACGATCTTCATTATATTCACCGCTAATTGAAGAGGAAAAGAAGAAATCAAAGAAATTTTAATTATAAACATGAGAATTGCGAAAATGCTCGATTAAATGTTATAAAAATTGTTATAAGGGATATCAAAAAATAAAATGAAAGAAAATGACTACAGATGCGCTTTTTTTATCAATGATGCATTTAATTAAATCAGTGATAATAGTACTGGGTTGATATATTTTGCAGGGATTAAGAAGATAATCATTCCTAGCAGTTGTTTTTCATACAAAGGAACTATGTAAATACAAGAGACAATTCCTGAATATATAGCATTTACAAAAATCGGTCTGCTATTATCGATTCAGGACATGCATCAGATTTCATAGATGTTAGAAGCGTCAGAGGCGCAGATACTGATTTCTTTTTCGTTAATATAAAGTAAAGTCCGCGCTTATACAACTCAGAAGCATCTAAAAGATATATAATACAGAGTTTTAATACCGATTTGTTACAAAATTTGTTTTTTAGAGAACAAATATAAAGACACTTATCAAATAATAAAATACAAACAAAGTTAATGCACTAGATGATATAGATAATCTTTTGACAATGACAAAAAAAGCACAGTGGTAAATTTCAGAAGTGATTTTTGGTATATAAAAATGAAAGCAGCAAAGTGGCTGGTTTGGTTGAGAATATAGAAATTTCATTAATCCCAGAAATTAAAAAAAATATATATGCTTAAGTTAGAAACCACGCTATTAAACTATTTAAGCACAAAAAAGGCTAATATCAATCATATTTAATGAGAAAAAAAGAGCGGAAGTGGCTTAGAAAACTAAGAAATAGAAAAAATAGTAAATAGTAAAACGATAAGCCTAATATGAATTATTAGGAATCGAAAAACGGAACTTATTAATCAAAACACAAAATTATAGGAATATTTAGAATTATTTCATGGGATATAAAGATTTATTAGATATCTTTGCTAAATTTTTTGAAAACCTTAAGTGCATTGGTCAAGCTATATTAGATGAAGTAAATATTAATAATTCTGAATATATGTTATGTAAATCTGAGGAAAATAATTTATGTGGAGAAAATTGTGAGCAAATAAAACCATCATTACCAGTTTAAGAAAAAATATGACTTCAGAGAAGATAAAATTACTGCATGAACTAGAAAACATAGAAGTCATAAATTAATAGGAAAAAACACAAATTAACTTGAAATATGTTAGAAAAAAAATGAGAACTTTTAAATAATATCTAAGCTCTACATCTTCTAATATAAAAAGAGTTTTAACAATTAATGTCCTAGGCTAGAGGTTTATCCCCATTAAATATAGATAAAAAGCTCTAAGCAAAATAGTTAATAATAGGTCTGAGCTTTATGCGGAAAAAATTACCTAGAACTTTCAATGTTGGTTTTGAAAAGGTAACCGAATCTAGATATATTATTTATCTGATAATGGCACTGTAAATTTTCTATAAATATAATATTCTGCCGCATAAAGTAAATCTAGATTATAAATAAGCCCACCATTGTATTAATTTAAATATATTAGCAAGGCTCTCAATATTTGGAAAAACCTATGAAGTCTAAAAGAATGAGTAACGTATTTTTGAACAATTCGAAAGAAAAGGTATTACAATCAAATAATACCTGAAATGATTTTTAAAGAACCAGATTCCCTGAAAAGGCGATAATTTTCGTGTGTATAATTACATCTTAAAATAAAACAGTTGTCCAAGAGCCAAAAATCAATGTATAATATATGGGTTTTTATAGTAAAACTCATGTTTAGCTTATACTGACCAATTTGGTAATTTATTCGGAAATTAATAGTGTATAAAATCATATTTTATTGACAAAACAACAGAATCAGAAAAGATCTGAAAAAAGGTAATTATGAAAAAAAACTAAGTATATAGAAATGACATTGCCACCAAATAACTCAAAAGATAGCCTTGCGTATTGACTCTTTCTAATTCGATATAGAATTTACATCTAATTATAAGAACTCTTATAAATTAAAATAGAAAAAGCATCAGGAAATTTATGAAAAAATGAAGGCAGAAAATAAAATCTGCATGAACTACAACACTCAATCAAATGAGACATATGTATAAATTCAAATTACAACGTATATAAAGTACTATCTTAGGATATTTTATAATGTATAGATCTAAAACTCGATTATACTAAAAAAAATAAACCATTATTAGACATTTACGAAATAAAAATACTTCGAGGAATATATAGCTGAAAAAACACAAACAATGAATATAAAATACGAACGTATTAAAGAATTTTTGATCGCTATAGAGAATCGAAAGGGGGAGTTATTGAAATAAAAAAAATCTATGAATGATGCAGATGAAACATGTGGCATATATGCCATCGATCGAGGTTACGCCAAGTAATATGTATCAAACGAATCGAAAAGTATGTATATACTGCGACAAAAATATTAAAAAGTTTAATGTATGCAAAGAATAAAAAAATAAAAGAAGAATTATCGCAAAATATAACGAAATTTTCTGGATTGGAGCGCTAGTTCAATTTCACAAACAAAGCGATGTCATGTTTTGTCTTTATAAAACTTCTAAACTGTTTAAGATTCTACACTATATACTTTATTGGTTAGAATAGAAAAATAAGATAAGGAAACCACAGAATCGAAAAAGTCAGCTTATTATAAAATAATAGGAAATTATCTGAAGAAAAGCAAATAAAATTAAAACATAAACGAACTGTTAGGTTCTATAAAAAGTTGCTTTAAATCAAGACAGCTCAAAGAGGAGAAAAACTCTTTTATTGGGTCTTTTAAACGCAATATTGAGCTTAAATATATATTATTATGAGCTTTCTCTTTTGTCTATATTTTTTTTCATCTAAAATTAACAAAACCGAAGAAAAATTTATTTAAAAGTATGATACAAGAATTATTTTAACATATACTTTTGTCAATAAAATATTTTTAATCAAAACAGTAAGTCATATTACGCTTGTGCCATTTATTTCTCTAATTATTCGTTTTTCTACCCAAATAGCATATCGATTCAAACAAAAGAAATATAAACAACCGCATTAAGCCCAAATTGGAAAGGTGAAGTTTTAAGGTGTTACTGAGCAGAAAAACATAAAACACGAAAAGCATAACATATTCTGAGGACTGATATTTAATCTAAAATTTAAACGGCAAAATACACTTAGATATATACCTTTTTTGGAAACTTCTTCTTTTGTTTTTTATGAGAACATATAAAATCCGCGAAATTAATTGGTTGTGTTAATATATATTTATTTTACACCTTTGGGTCATGTTTTTGAAAGATTTCTTGCCAAAACTGATAATCGACATCATGTCTTATATATTTGTGGGTTGTACAAAAATTTCTTAATTTAAAAGGCTACATTTATATCATCGTTTTAAACATTCTGATATATAAAAGAGGCAAAATGTTCATTTATTTCGCATTTTTCCTAAGATTTAATATTTTCAAACTTTTTTTTCAACACAAATTCGTTTTTCAATATAAAATAGCCAATAAAACCATTAATTAAAGGCACCATATTGAATATTTAGCTTTATTTCGGGTAAACCTTAAGGTTTTTTTACCTTTAAAACTATAATTATTTTTCAGTGTATATAATTTTCGTTTCTAAAAATAATTTGATTATGAATTTAACCATTAGCATCATACTTCTCGCATTTAAATTCTAATAAATTTAACATTTTGGATTAAATTTACAATCATATGACTAGTATAATACATATCCCTCACATAATTTAATTGTCTTAAAAAATTACTGCTTAATCATAATAGCTAGCATAATAAACTCATAGTTTTTTTACATATCTAATTCAAGTAAATATTAATATAAATTACTAATCTGCACTATAGTCAAAAAAAATTAATATTGGGATACTTCATATGCTTGTGTATCATGTAATGAAAATATAAGTTCTATAATTTTATAACTTAAAATTGCCAAAAAAATATTCATCTAAAATTTTATTTTAAATAATCTTAGCCATATTTAATTCCATAGAAATTATTTTTATTTTTAATAAACATGTGATAGGAATATGGGTTAAGTAGTTGATATGCTTTCGTAATATAGGAATTTTAGTTTGGAAAGCTATAAAATTTCTGAAATAAGTTAAAATATGTTTTGATATTGTTTTAGACAATAAAGGTATTTTTTAACTGAAAAAAACTTTTCATATAATTATGATCAAATTTTTTAATATAAATTCATATGAAGAGTAAAACCTTAAAATATTATTTATTGGAAGCTATTTTGCTATCTATAAACTCAAATTTAAAAAATTTAATAATTTCAGCTAAAGAATTTACTAAAAAAATATA